ACCTCTCTCTTCTTCCTCGCGACTGATCGATAGAGTAGATGGGTGCGCCTGATGTGCTCTCGCCAATCTGTGTGTGAGGATATATATCGATACACGTGGCTGACAAGCACATGGGTGCATGCGTCGCTGCGTGTACTCCCTTCTTCTTTCGCCATCGAACATGGCTGGCTCACGGCGAATCACCGTTGGGGACAACTCTGCATGACAACCATCAAATTAGGATGTTAAGGGGCCGGAGCCGGTTAAAGCAAAAAATAAAACACTCCTAATTAAAAAGAACTTAAGGTTCTCTCGTCCACCACGTTCTTCGTTCAACATTTCTCTTTTCCTCTTGTATTTTATTTACTTACCTGGCAAGACAATAAGTTCTTACTAAGTCATTAGCAAATGAAATCTTAAATTTTATTTAGGCAGGTATATCACTGACATTATTTGATAAACAACTATTTAGACACTCACACTAATAAGGAAGGTAATCAGGGGCTAAAGGCATCTCCAACGTCAACCATCAACCGCCCGCAATGGTTCGGACCACGCGGTCCGGACGTGTTTTGTCGTCCAACGCGGGCATGTATCGGTCTGCCATTTGTTCAGACGCGTCTTTTCCAGCAAACTGGAAACAAACAGGGAGGGCGGGGGGGACTTTGCGGACGTGTGGACCACTGTCACGCCCACATCTGACTGCCCTGGCACACCAAAAAAAACCTCTCCCATGCCTGCACATTTTCCCGCCCGAAACCAACTACTAGCATTCTTGCTAGGTCAGAGCGGACATGACCGCTCACTGGAGTCACTATTGTGTATTTCGACCTGCAAAAAGAAGCTTAAAATCTTAACTTCTCCCATTCATCTTTTCATAAGGATGGAAATACATATTTAAAGGGTGAGCCAAATTATATATTGCATGTGATATATACAGATATAAAAAGGGACTGAACACTTTATATGTTCAATTTGTTGTTTCTTAGCTAGCTCGGGTTCCTCTACTGAAAGGTAGGACCCTGGTACTGTGATAATTGCATGTACTCTAAACTAGTGTTAGAGACATAATTATGCATGTGTATTTTGCAAATAGTATTTTTTAAATACAATTATATAAAATGACATACTTAGATAACCGGACGGAGTAGTATCATCTTGATCGCAGCTCCCAGCTCATCCCACAACAAGTAAGGCAATCGATAGCATTCACATTTACCAGATCTGAAGCCCTTGCCATCACCGTGTATCTGAGATCACATGGCTCGCGGCTCCCAGCTCAAACCTGACATCTTATCCAGGATGCCACGAACAACTACTATCTGTCCCCTCACCCAGTGTTTCCGGAAGTGCTTGAGGTCATCAGGCTTTGCAGCGTCTGACTCTAGGTAATACGGCCAATTATCAGCTGAGTTCTCCCTGGAAGCAGTTCTTCTTTTCTCCCTGGAAAAACTGCGGCCGGCAAGAAGAAGTTGAACCACTGTGGCTTCTCCCTCGAGTCGCGTCAACCAGTCCGCCAGGAAGTGATGCCTCTGCTCAAGACGCGGGCAAATGCAGCCCCCGAGTTCGGTGGGAGGGCAAGGAGTGCTACCACCATTGGCAGCAACGGTAGCTACCCACTTTGCTATTTTAACTTTTTTTTTGCCGCTCTTGCAATGTTTTGACCTTCCCCTCCCAATGAGGAGCATGGATATGGGTTTGCCCCAGTGCAAGTAGTCGGGACCATTGTGTGGGTAATCTTCCTCCATCTCCACACAGCAGTCGCGGAGGTTATTCTTGCATAGCTCCTTGCACCAGGATGGAGATCGTATATTGATGTGTCACAGTTGTTGTGGCAAAGAAAATAAAAATGTAATGCACACATTACAGAAGATTGGATCGACCGAATCAACTGCAGGAATTCATCATTTACATAGGATCAAGACGTACCAGTATGCCCTCTCATCTTTGTCATACACGACTTGTTCTATGCTCAAACTGAACAGTGGTACCCCTCTGAATTTGGGGCAATAAGCAAACAACAGTGCACCACGTACGTGTACCCGGGTTGGGCGAACAAAACAGGTCCCTGCACGAACACGAGCGCAAAAGCATGAAAAGTAATGAACGATACTGAAAGGCAAACCCCGCACGTGAGCCATCGCTAAAACTTTGGATCCCTGAAATCGGCACCCTATATTCACCAATCCCAGCCAATTTCAACCCTAAACCGACACTACACTGTTTGTTGCATAGGGAAAAAGACAACCCCAGCTGGGAACAATTGTTTCTGTCATTGACTCCGTGGGCCTACATGTCATATTCATCTTCCCCACTCCATACATCCGAGTAGTGTGCCGCTTGCCCTCAACGCCCCGATGCCGTCTCCTGTTCATGGTGTGCACCCTGCCCCCGAGAGGATGGCCAGCACTGCGCAAGGATGACCATTGAACGTCGGCGAGGGCCATCCAGAGTGCCGCCGTGTCCCTCCTCAGTGCACGCATGGTGTCTACCTAGCTGCTCGACAAGCGTCCAGGCATGCCCAATACGCCCTCGTACCGAGCTTATCTAATCTCGTCTGAGCTTCTACGACCTGTGGAGCTCAAGGTCCATCGACCTCGTCCCGCCGCGACCTGCTGGAAACGGACGACATGGAGGACACTTTCGCACGCGGCAGCCCCCAGTGGGTTGGCTACTCCAGCATTCTTTACGGAGTAATTTCCCTTTTTTCACTTATACTGAACAACAAGTCTAGCTTACACATGGAGCTTAATCCTATCCTACTACAACGAAAACTTATACTTCTAACTTGTAGTCTCCTAGCTGATTAGGCTAACATGTAGACTCCACTTTTTGGCCATTTAGGTCGCCAGGAGGGCGGGCGTCCACCCCCTATCCGCCCTTTTATGGGCAGCGCACCCAACGGGGCAGCCCACTACACCGTCCATTTTTTTGTTAATAAAATTGTCATCGTTCACAACCAAATAACAATTGAATGAATCATTGCACATTATTAAACAAATAAAAATCACATAGTTATAAAAATAAGTAAAAGTCACATAGTTTGCTATCAGATGAATTTAAAATTGTAGAGGCGGCGGTTGTTTCCTTCCACCCCCTAATCTCAATCAAAGTGTTTGTATCTAATTTTTTTAGGGGTGTTTGTATCTACTTGAACAAGCTACTAGTATATCCAGGGAGTCCCTATGCGCCGCTCGCTACGGCGAATTGCTGAGCGGACGCACATGCGCGACTCCATCTGGGCTGGCCCATTAGCGTAATACAGCGAAAATCCCAAAAAATACTACTCGAGGGAGGGATCGAAAAAGGGACCTCGCGTTGCTCTCGCGCGAGCCTAGCCAACGGGATAGAGAAGCTTTCTTCATCTAGTATGGCGCGCGAAGCTCCGAACATTTTGTCAAATTCCAAACGCGATCATTATTTTGAAAAGGTGTTTTTGTAAACAAGCGAACACTTTTCAAATTTGAGAAGGAAAATAAAAGGCTCGAACATTTTTTTAATATGTCAACAAGTTTTTGATAAACTGAACACTTTTTTGAAAATTACGAACATTTTTTAATATGTGAACACATTTTTGTTAAAGGGAACACTTTTTGAAACTCTGAACAAAAATTTGGAAACGCGAATATTTTTGGAATCCGTGAACAATTTTTGAACCAAGAACATTTTTTAAAACTCAAAACAAAATATGGAAATGGAAATATTTTTAGTTTTTTTGAACCTTTATTGAAAAACATTAACATTCTTTATGAAATCAAGAACATTTTTTAAACCTGTGAAATATTCTTAAATAACGAAAAAAGGAACAGGAGAAAATACGCAGAAAAACGAAAAAGGAATATGAACATTTTTTAAATTCCAAAACAAAATTTGGATACGTGAACATTTTTCAAAAATTGGAAAAAAATTAAACTCCAGAACAAAATTAGAAAATGTAAATATTTTGAAAAATTTGCAAACATTTTTTGAAACTCCCAAACAAAATTAGAAACAGACACTTTTTTGAAGTTTGCAAACAAATTTTGAAACTAACAAACAAAACTGGAAAACACGAACATTTTATAAAATAGCAAATGAATTTTGAAAGAGGAACATTTTTTCAAACTCCTGAACAAAATTTGAAAACGTGAACATTTTGTTAAAAATTGGAGAATATTTGAAAGGTGAACTTTTTGTCTAAATATGCGAACATTTTTATAAAAAATGGAGAATTGCTTTTTGAATTTTTGAACAAAAGATAACAACAGTAACATTTTTTTAACTTCCAAACATTGTTTTGAATTTTTGAAAAGAAAATTGAAATTCTCAAGAACAAGAAAGAGAAGAAAAAGGAATTACAACAAAAAAGAAAAAAATGAAGTAACGAAACAGAAATACGGAAAAAGAAAAGGTATTTTTAAAAAACCAGAACATTTTCTGAAACTACGGAAGAAATTTGAAAACACGAACTATTTTTGGAAACATAAAACAATTTTTTGAAAAACGATAATTTTTTGAAACTCCCACATTTTTGTAAATGCAAACTTTTTTATAAACATGTGAAGAATTTTCAAGGAACGTGAATAATTTTTGAAATAAAAACGAAAAAAAAAGAAACGGAAAAAGGAGAGGAAATAAAAAAAGTAGCAGGAAAAAAAAGAAATTGAGACAGCAAAGAACCCCGGAGAAAACCGGTTCAGGAATCTCCTGGAATGTTCCCAAAACCGGGATGGGAGAAGTGGTGGGCGGGCCGGGCCAAATCCTCCCTCGCTGGCAACTTGACGCAAGGTGCGTCAAGTAGGATTTTCCGTATATGCAGGCCTAAAAGAAAAAGCTATTAGTATATCCAGGCCTCAAATTTATAAACAGCCGAATGGGCCTATGGCGCGACATGGGCTTGCAGCCCGCTAGAGCCGACGGAAGAATGAAGGAGAAGCGGCGACCCGAACGCTCCATCAGCGCCGGCTTTTTTCCTGGGAAACCCTTGCTTGAACCCTGCCTCCCCGCCGTCCCCTCCCCACCCCCCCACGCGAGCGGCGGCGATGGCCAAGAAGCTCGGGAAGAAGGCCCGCAAGTTCGCGCACAAGCACCTCCAGGGCGGCGCCAAGCGCAGCCGCAAGCTCCGCTCCCAGTTCAACCGCCGCACCCGCAAAGGCCCGTCCTTTCCTCCGCCGCCGCCGGCCCCTCTGCTAAAAGTGTTTGTCTGTTTGGGTTCCACGAGGTGCTGATTCGAGCTTCTCCCTTTTGTTTTCTCATCAGATGGGAAGGGCCGCGAGGACGACAACCGGCTGGACGGCGACGGCGACGGCGGCGGCGAGGAGACCCGCCGGAACGACGCCATCATGTATATTTCATCATATCCTCCACTGTTCTTGCTCTGTTATTTAGATAAGCTTGGTGGGTGCGCGACAGGGCGGTTGAGCTCGCTCATGTGCTGTTTGAAGCTGGGGGGGGGGGGCATTGAGTGATTTTGCTGCAATGTTACTAGGCTACCCTGGGTGCTGGTACTGCGATGAATACTGGACATTCCATTAGCTTGTCTAAAAAGTTGACGCGTGCTTACTAGTTATAGCCATTTGACTCAGCCTAGCTTGCAAATTTGGATGTTGTGGACATGGATTTCATCTCGTGTCTCTATTTACTGTAGAACTTCATTCATGATAATGCTGTTTGGTAAGTAATGCATTGATTTTTTTAGGTCTTTATTTTCTTTATTTAACTAAGCTCGATATGCTTTTCCTATAGGAACATGAACGATGATGTGGCTACTTTGGCCAACTGCTTAGAGTTCCCAGAAGATGAGAATGAATTAGATGGGGATCTATCCGACAGCGATGGCTATCTTTCAGAGGTATGTTTATTTTCTGTTCCACTATCGAGTCTCTTATTCATCTTCGACAAGCAATATACATTTAGGAGTAGTGACACCTACTATAGCTTTCGTATTTTAACGTGATGATTCTGTTCATGAGCTCAAACATACACAAATTTACCATCATCCGCAGTTCATGCACTGCCCGCAACTCCTGAGCTTTCCTTTTGCCTTACAGTTCTGCGTACAGGGCTTCTACTTCTCTACAGAACTTTTTCAAGGATTTTATCTGGGGGTTCTTTTCTTTTTTGATATGTCAAACTGACAAGTAGCTCTAGATATTTTTTTTGTTGATTTCTTCTAGACTATTGTGTTGGAAATATTTTCATAATCTGGCTGAGGTGCTTAGATCAGTTTTAAAACCACTGAATAATATCCAAGGATGATTGTATAGTGTCTGTTGGCAATATGTGCACAAGTTTGTACTTTATGTGGTTATTATGTTAGTGTGTAATTGCTCTGCAAGTAAATTTTGTACATCAGAAACTGCCCATTTTTTGTTTTTTCAAAATTAGTTGTGTGATTGTGTCTACTATTTGTAGTGCTATTGCTTAGTGGCCCTTGTAAACTGATCATTGATGCTTGAAATGCAGGATCCTGAGTGTATGTACTACTCTGACAGTGATGATGATAATGTTCTGAAAGGTAAATTGTTGTTAACGCATATTGAATTTTGTGGTGTGATAGTTTCTAAGCATCAGAACATTTCTTGCAGAGTGTATTGTACAAGATGATCTTGGCGAACAGAACAATGAGATGCGTTTGGCTGTGAAAAAGCAAAAGAAAAAGTTGAAGAAGTTGCTGGATAAGGTGAATAACTGAAAATTGCCATAGGTCTTGCCGTCTTACTTGCTGGATATATATTGCTTGGTTTGGTTGCAGGTCTGTAGTTATGTTACTGTGAGGAATCACCTCTCTTATAATCTGGTCTCATGATATAATCGTTGTAGATCGGTTTTTGATTAGTGCGAGCTTTCTAGATTTTTAGATTAATGTGTGAATTTCTATCCCTCGAAGCAAACATGAAACCTTGAACCACACAAGTTGTTATAGCTATATATAGGTCACTGTTAGCTATGCTTCTGAATGTTGATCTCATCTAGGAACAAATGATGTTAGCCTTTATATTGTCTGTCTTTTCTGGAATTCTGTGGCTGCATTGTGCATCTTAGGTGATTTCTATCAGGATTGAGAGTGTTTGTTATATTTGTAGGACCCTAAGTTCGCAAACTTCCTTGAGAAATGGCAATTGGAATTGGTGAACTATGAAAGTAAAGAAGTAAGTTTTACTTATTATTTCTGCTTTATGTACTAAAATTCATGTACATCCTTTTTACAATGTACTTCTCGTGCCATAAATGATCTCATAAAATAGTTTTTCTTTTGCTATTATTCTGTTCCAATCTTCAATAGGATTCAGATGAAGAAGATGAGATGGATTCTGTGGAAAACGGGGTCGATTCTGGTGATAAAGATCCTCCTAGTGATAAGATCCTTACAAGCAAGACAATAAGTGAATGGTGTCAACTAGTCTTAGATGAACCTAAAGCACCTGCTCTGCGTAACCTACTAAATGCTTTCCGGGATGCATGTCAATTTGGTCTTAAATCAAATAGCCTTTCCATGCAGAGACTTCAAAGTACTGAAGTATTTTATCAGATAATATCATTTGTTCTTTCGAAGGCAGACAACATTTTCCGTGCTCTCTTAGAAATTTCTGATGATGACAAGGGGAAACTTATGAATCAGAGAAATGGAAAGAAATGGCAAGATATTGAGCTGCTCATAAAGTCTTACTTGTGGAATTCTCTTGATCTGATTAGTCAACTTACTGATAACCAAATACTTACATATGTCTTGACTCAGCTTAGAACATCTGCGGTATATTTTTCTGCGTATCCCTCAACATCAAGGAGGCTTCTCAAGGTATGTTCCTTGATAATGTTGCTTGTTGATATTAAATTTAGTTTTGCATGTTATTTTGTTCTTCTGGAGGAGATTCAAGTTTGAAACCTGTTCTGGTCAATAATATTAGTTCGGTTGAGGACTACTGGCCTTTCTGGTATTTTATTTTATTTTTCTCTGTAAAATGGCTATTTAAAAAATCCGTATAGAAGAACACTTACGCGGCTTCTTGTTTATTAAAGAAGAATGTGAACAAGAGGAAAAGGTGGGTTATTATTTGGGTTGGGCAGTATTTCGTGAACACTGTATTTGTAGGAAATTGATCTGCCTTCATATATTTCAGCAAAAGGTGGGTTATCGTTTTGAACCAGTCATATATTTCTGGCACTGTAAGAAATGTTTCAAACACCTTGAAGCAGTCGTTATCAATCTGTTTGGCTTTCAGTTTTTTGAATAGTTTTACTCTGGTATTTTAGTGTTGCCATTTTGGATCCAGTATACACATCCACTTAAGCTTAGACCCATGATGCATTGTCACAGTGCTATTGTCTTAATTATTTGAAATTCACCTGTTTTTCAACCATTCTATGACTGCTTCGAGATTCTTACAATATTTTTCTGGTGTAGGATGCCTGGCCTTTTTATTTCTAATACTAGCTTATCATATACTGAATGTACTCTGCAGATCTTAGTTCGCTTGTGGGCAAGTGGTGATCAGAACTTGTCCCTGTCTTCGTTTCTTATGATTCGAGAAGTGGCTTCACTCTTACCTGACTGTCTGGATTTCTGCTTAACTAAAACATATAATGCATACCTTTCCAGTTCCAAGATTGTGGACAACAGAAATATAGAAAATATCGATTTTATTCTGAACTGTCTGGTGGAACTTTATTCTCTGGATATTCAGAAAGCAGGTGAAAGGGCAGTAATTTCTGTGGGACAGTTGAGTGCTATTCTTAGACAGGCGTCTAAAACAAAGGGAAAGGTACACATTAATGCTTATATCTGTAGTTGTGCTTGCAGTTGGTTTAGCTCGAGTGTTCCTACCGTATCATGCAGACAGATCCTTTGGACCTGCTTGGATTTGGAGATATATTCTTGTTTCTCATATCCAAACAAGGCTTTAAGGTGTATCTGCACACCAGTTATAGTCAAATACATTTCGTTTAAATAGACTGGCCTTCTTATTTTTTCTAATTATTCGTTACATTTGCTAAAAAAACATTGCTAAGAAGAGATCCTGGCACAAGTGTTCTAACTGTTTGATTCCTTATCGTACAGTGATTGTTAATTCACAAACTGCACCAACTTGCTAATTTGTTATTGCCATAAGTTGACATATTTCATAGAATTTTCTTTGTATTGCTGTATTTGACCAACATATACATGCTGCGAGAATACAAGAAAAAAATATTCTTATTATTACACTTGCCTTTTTCACACACCCAAAAGAAAGCAGAATGGTTATTTTCATGTCCACATGGATTCTTTTCCTTGTGGTGGTTTTTATTTGTTCTTTGGACATCACATGGATATTGATATGCTTCTATGTTTGTGGTTGCAGGAAGATCTTTTGAAGATAGATAACTGGCAGTTTATTAACTGCATAAACCTATGGGTTAGGTTTATTTGTGTTAATTACAAGGATTGCCACAACCTCCATCTATTATTTTCTTCAGTTGTTCAGATAATAAGGGGAGTGGCTCATTTATTGCCAGGCATGCGATACTTGCCACTGAGACTGAAGCTTGCGCAGATGCTAAATGAGCTTTCGAATTGCAGTCAGATGTTCTTTCCAGTTCCATCGTTGATATTTGGGTCCCTAGAATTTAGGGAGACACCTCAGAAAGAACAAACAGAAAAAGGAAAGACCCACTTTTCATCACTACTGAAGGTACGCCGTTTCACGTATTGCTCATTATATGTGGAATTTTGTGTTCTTTCATGTGTCTCAAAAAGTCACGAAAATATGAATATTGTACCAAGCATCTGAGAAGTATATAACTCTTTGGCCCCCCATTCCATATGACTAAATGCTCACTAAAAGAAAACAACCATCCATGCAATTTCAAGTAATCAACCCCTGATGGTCTGTAAAATGTTTTTGTAAATCTTTCTGGATTGCTCATTTTCTAACTTCTGTAATTACCGCGTAGGTTTATGCTCAATTATTAATTATGTACTTCGGTTTCATCTTCTTAAATATTATCTTTGTGTGTGTGTGCCTGTGTGGCTCCTGTTTGGTTTCATCTCTAGCCTGCACTCTACTTCCTTGGGATTAAAAGTTTGTTCTTGTGTCTGTTTCATTTTCTGAAGATAGTTTAAATTAACCCTGTTTTGTGTGTGTTAGGTGCCAAGGAACATGCTGAAATCAAGAGATTTCCAAGAGCAGTGCGTTCTTTCAGCAATTGAGGTTCTATCGGCACATTTTTTCCAGTGGAGCTATCATGTTTCTTTTCCAGAAGTAGCCACCATTCCGCTCATCCTCTTGAAAAGATTGCAAGAGCAGACAACGATTGAGTCCCTCCGCCGTCCTCTTAAACGAATGATAGACCAGGTACTTCAGTCAGAACACGTATCCGGGTTATTTCTAAATCCGTCAGCATCCCTGTAAAGATCAATTCAGCATTGTCACTCTACAACGAGGCTTTTATACAGCGTAAATATTGCAAGTTTTGGTCATGATTGGTGAACGTCTGACAGATTCCATATAAGCTTTAAGCTTTTATATGTTCTTTCAATTTGGCGGGAAACAGGGCCACGGCACTTCATTCTTTTGCTCACCTTGCGGTGTTCCGTTTGATATGTGACATCCTTTTGAATGCTGAAACCGCAGGTGAGCGAGAACAGGGATTTCGTGCAAAGGAAGAGGGAGGTGGTCTCTTTCTCACCAAACGACGTGTCGTCAGTCGAGAGCTTCCTCCAGGTTGGATTCCGCCCTCGCCATCGCCATGATATATTCCCATATTTCGTAGACCATGTCTATGATCACAGACCTGACCGACTCTCCCCTGAAACGCAGGAGGAGGAGATGAATGGGAACGCTTCCTTCACGCAGTTCTACGCATCAGTGGCAAAGAGTCGTCAATCGAGAGGTATGAGCGACCTTTGTTTGTCTGATGAACAGCGCCGCCATCTTCTTCCGATCTTCAAGTTTGATGATGGCTTCGTTCTAATATCTGGAACATTTGGCACGCTGTTTGTTCGCAGGGAGAAAATTGGTGTAGAGAGCGATGCTAGGGTGTGATGGTTGTTGACTGGCTAGAGGAGCATCACACTGACGACGAACTGAGGATATGAACGACTTGAATGTACACGCAGCGGTATCGATGACCGACGTCGGTGTTCATGGTTTTCTTGCTGTTTGTCGGTGTAGCTCTCGAGTTTGTCGAAACTTCTGCCGAGTAGATTTGGAGTGCGAATCAAAGGAGCTTTGTGGCGCTGGAATTCTGCAGCTGTTTGTTATGAGCATATCGTTCAAGCTCATTTATGTTACACAAATTTTTGTAGACCATATATATTTACCCTTGTCTAATAGTACGAAGTGTAACATTCTTGGGAAATCTTAGCTAGCACCTAGCAGACTTTCCCTGTTCCCTGTGAAGGAACGGCAAGTGAACTAATTTGAGATGTACTCCCTCCGTCCCAAAATTCTTGTCTTAGATTTGCCTAGATACGAATGTATCAACTGACTTGATACATTCGTATCTAGGCAAATACGAATGTATCAACTGACTTGATACATTTGTATCTAGGCAAATCTAAGACAAGAATTTTGGGAAGGAGGGAGTATATCGATGAACTGTAGTAGCCATGATAGGCAGAATTGGAAGATTCTCAATAGAGCTCACGCCAGCCACATCCTGGCTGTTAAGTTTTTAAGTAGGAGAGGCTTTACCGCCACTAGTGAAAAGTAAATGATGAACTACAGTGACAAGGGTAAAACACATCGAACGGTGGCGACGAGTCGGGGGCGTAGGAGCCACTGTGAACCGTTGGATTGACTGAAGCGGTATTTGTCAGTCGCGCTACACCTAACTGAACCTCTGGACAGTGTTTAACTGAAGGTGTAGTTTCAGAGCCTGACGTTGCCCCCTTCTAAAGATTCGACGATTCCTCGCTGCGATTGCTCTGCCGCACGCCAAGCTTGGGTCGTGGTCTTGAAGAAAGCCGGAAAGTTTGCTTCTTCCCATGTACTCCCTCCGTTCCAAAATAGATGACTCAACTTTATAATAACTTTAGTACAAAATTGAGTCATCTATTTTGGAACAGAGGGAGTAGCATCTTCTCGAGGCAAATTTTCCCACTGCATGTACCATTGAACAACCGGCAGATTATTTCCTGACTTGGAGAACCCCAGCAGGGCCAAGTCTTGATAGTGCCATCAGTGTTCACCATTGGTAGATTAGGGCCAGGAATCAATGTGCTTCTTCAGTTGGCTGACATAAAAACAGGGTGTATTTTCATGTGGTTAGGAAATTGCAGTTTATAAGCTGACTTGCCCACCTTTTGCACATCCAAAAAAGGTCCATAATACTTGTTTTGCAACTTTAGAGCCCCTCTGAATCCAAAGGCTGCCAATCTGTAAGGAGCCATTTTCAAATATACCATATCTCCCACTTCAAAGACTCTCTCCATTCTTTTAATATCTGCGTAATGTTTCATTCTGTTCTGGGCTTGCAGCAAATTTTCTCTCAATTATTCCAATATTTGTTGTTTGGTAGACAAGAAATTATGAGCCTCTTCTTCTTCAAGTCCAGGAATTGCCAGTTCAGAGATCAATGGGGGAGGATAACCGTGAAGTACTTGGAAAAGAGACGTTTTTATAGCAATGTGTTAAGTAGTATTGTACCAGTGCTCAGCTAGAGATAGCCATGAACACCATTTCTTAGGCTCATCAGTTGCCATGCACCTTGGATAAGTTTCCACACACTGATTTGCCCTGTCAGTTTGGCCATCAGTTTGAGGATGGTAATCTGTACTATACCTTAACCCACTTTTCAGAGCAGAAAATACGCCTCTCCATAGTTTGCTTGTGAAAATTCTGTCTCTATCTGAGATAATTAATTTAGGAGGACCATGTAATTTCAGAATATTGTCCACAAATGCATGTGCCACACTCAATATTGGCTCTATTATAACGGGCTCTCCGTTGGATGCTGGCCATCGGGCGCACACCAAATTGTCACGTCTTCCGATTGGTCGGTTGCGACCAAGTGGTCAGCTTGGTAAGCTACCAATAAAAAATTACAATCAATGATAAAAGATAGGTCGGTTGCGATCACACTGGCCCTGCCAGTCCCCCGCTGGGATCAAATCAAAGCCATGGCAGAGGGAGAGAGACGCTCCAGAAATTGAAAGTGGTAAATGAACAATGTGTGTTTTATATGTACGTAGCATTGTCCCTGATTTGTGTGCATAGCTCGCCGGCGGCGGCTCGCACGATTGGGTCTTGTTGAATGTACCACCGTTGTGTGGCTACATGGAGGGTCCATGTGTACTGATGTCTTCTTGCCTTTTTAACAGTAACTCTATGATCATGAAATAATACTCTTTTTACCCCCCCCCCCAAAAGCACGACCATTGATGTTTGTCTCGTGTTCAGGCGTTCCTGTGAGTGGATAATTGTCAAGAAGAGAACCCGAGCCCGACCCATGTGTATGGCGCCAGTCGAGCCGGCAATGGCGGGGAATCTCTCGTTCCTCCCTTGGCCGGCCGGTCGTGTTACTAGTTGTTCAAGAGCGCAACAGCCGACGAAGCCAATATGACACTAGTCGGGCTAGTTGGCTATGGCCGCGATCAGGGGCAGAGCCATGAAATTTTGCCAATGGGTATGAACTAACTATCATACGTGTGTTGTTGGTTGTTAAAAGAATCCAATCTAACCTCGCCCAAAGAGAAATCCTTCACAACTTGATCCAAGCCGGGGGGCCAATGCCCCCCCCCCCCGTCTTGTGAATATTTTTGAAATCCAGAACAAATTTAAAAATAAAGGAACATTTTTTCAAATTCAAGAACAATTCTTGAATGTTTTTAAAGTTGAAAAAAACAAAAAAAAACTTGTGATGCCCCGTCCCATACTTGGGCCGGCAAAAACCACTCGCACGGGGGAGCGGTGGTGCGCGATTGCTCGGTTTCCCCCGCGCAACGCGGGGCATAGGAGCTCCTGCGGAAATCCTATTGCGCGGCGTAGGTCGACAGTTGTATATCAAATTCAAAATTTTCATTAATTCAAATATTTTGTTTGAATTCAGAAAGTGTTCATCATATTCAAAAATATATACGAAATTAAAAAATGTTCCTATTTCTCAAATAATATTCATCAAATTCAAAAAAAAAGTTCGTCCATTTTGGAAACGTTTCATAAAATTATAGTTTTTTATTCAATTCAAAACGTATTAATCAATTTCAACAAATGATCATTAAAAATCAAATTTGGTGCATGAAAATACCAAAAAAAATGTCCATCAAATTCAAAAAAAGTTCATTTCTTCATTAAATCATTAGTTGTTTTGCATTTGTGAACATTTCTAGAAATTCAAAAGGTTTTTTGGAATCTCAAACTTTTTCAAAGTTGTAAAAAAAAAGACATGAAGAAAAGGAGAGCCCTGCCCTGCACCTAGGCTGCCCAAGTTCACGCACAGGGTCCGGGAATAGGAGGTCCCGAGCTCCCCGGGCGCATTTGTATACGAAAGAGCTATGTCTCGCTTATAGCGTGACAAAAGCTTCTCCGGCTCTATAGTGACGGGCCAGCCCATTAGCGCACTTACAAGAATAGAGTAGTGACCTCCTTGTTATAGCGTACTGCCCTTACTCAAAAAAAAAACGTTATAGCGTACTGCTGCTAGCAACTAAATAGTCGTCAAGTCGGATTTCCGTTTCTTTTTTTTATCTTTTTCCCTTTTCCTGTTTATCACCGGGTTTTATTATTCGCTTTCGCTGTTTTTACTGAGTTTTTTCTTTCCTTTCTTTTTCATTATTTTCTTTGGTTTTCACTGTTTCTTTTTCAGGTTTTAATAGTTTTTCTCTTTCCTTTCCTTTCTCTTTATTTTTCTTCGGTATTGTTTGTTTCTTTCTCATTTTTTATCTGTTTTCCTTTTGTTTCCCCTCCGGTTTTCACTTTTTTTCTATACACATTTTTTGTATATATCTAATACATTTTTATTACACGTTTAGCATTTTTTAAATACAAGTTGATATTTTTTTAATACTCGTTAATATTTTTTTAATACATGGTCAACATTTTTTCTATACACATTTAACTTTTTCTTAATGCTTGATTAACATTCAGATAGTTGTTCAACATTTTTTTCAAATGCTTGATTAACGTTTTTTATATGCATGATCAAAAAATTCATCATTTTTTAATACATGGTCAACCGTGTCTCGTCTAATCAAGATACCTACATGTATCCAATTCATTTGCTTTCCTTTCACAGGACTATTTCACTTGTATTTTTGCTGTGAGTGAGCATCAAGACTTAATTTGATCAACTAATTAATCATACTACTGCCTTTTAGATCTGCAGTTAAGAGACGACATAGTCAAATGCACCGACATACGTTTCGACTGCACAGAATTAATATCTGAAGAGACAGGTTGTTTGAGATTTTCTTTTCTTACAAATTGCTTCGATGATACTCCCTTCGTTCTGAAATATAAGATGTCGTAACTTTTCTATGAATTAGATGCATAAAGACATGTTTTAGTATGTTTGTTTGCTCATCTTAGTCTGCATATGCAGTCCATATTAAAATATCCAAAACATCTTATAGTTTGGAACGGAGCGAGTATTAGTTTGACCTATGTCCGCACTTCTATGATTACTTTTACAACTGACTTGCTACCGTGGAGCAAACCGGGCTCCTGTTTCTCTGCCATTTGCCGTCCCTCCCATGCCACATGCATTAGCCAATAATGTGAGCAAATTTGCAAAACACAGTAAATGTATGACAAAAAATATTCAAAAATAGCCATAACAATAAACCAGTAATAATTCATTTATAGCAATAACTCTTGATGTGTGTCTCCGAGAGTACATCATATCTATGAATCAACTGTTGTAATGCACTATCCAACATCTTCAACTTTTTTCCATTGCGGGAACCCGCCATTTTCAACTTCCGGTTTTGGGAAATCTGGATCCTAAGTATGTCTTTCTTCTAGCCAAAAGAAAAAGAAGAGTATGTCTTGTCTCATCTTGAGACTAAATCATCAATCACGCCATGCATCTCCAGTTCCTCCGCTGCAGCGATTTCATGAAGGTTAGCGTCAGCCAGAAAGATCAAGGATCCGAAAACCACCTGAGAAGTTCTATCCTGGTGCCGTACATACCTTGTTCTATGTACGTGCAGTTGCTACATGTCCTATTTTCCCCGGATTCAGGCGGAGCATACTACACTAGATCCTCGCTACAAAAGGCGACACCACAAAAGAAAGGCCATGTCATGACTCACATAACAAAGATATCAAGAGGCGTATATGTACAACAAAGGCGGAAGCAATTATATCTTGCACACCCACCTGGCAAGCCTTGACGTCCTGGCATCCACACAGGAGCATGCCGTTGAGCAGATCGGTGGCTTGGAACGCGCCCCCTCCCTCGCTTCTCTGAATATAGTTCATTTCACGAAATATGCGCAAACATCACTGAATTTGTGTAACAACATAGTTCGTAGGTTTTAGAAGTCTTCATGTTATCCTTTTGAGATTAATATCTGCAATTGTCATCTCGTGGAACACACAAGTATTTGACCCTAAAGTTTTATGTATATACATAGAACTATATACCTTGTAGTAGTCGACTGCGATGAAATTAGCCCATCGATTTCCGGCTGCGCTGTAGCATGTACTAGCCATGTCAGTGAGGCCCTTGTTGTGCTGCAAACATGCAGTCAGCTTCACAGGGACAGATGGGAAGTAGTTCATGAGGACCAGTGACTTGGTCTTGTCGTTGAGCGGCGCGGACTCTGCACGGTTCGAGCATTCGCCAGCATCCATTCCGTCGTCGCCATCTTCAACACAGTGAAATCAATGAAATTCAGAGCAACGGTACTTAAGACAGTGAGGAACTGCAGCATAATGTTTCGTGTGAAGGAAGTAGAGTCTCACAATTGTTCTCAACCATGAAATTCCACTGGTATGCGATTCCTTCTGTGACTTGCTTCGATCTGGCAGAGGTGAACACAAGGAGACGTTCGTTGCTTGTGACCATATCGCTAACAAGAGGCCAGTCCTGACCATTCTGCGGCATTTTCGAAACCGGAAACCAGTACTTTTGCAGGCCAGAGGCATTGAACACGTTCGTCAGGCCATTTGGCGCGTTAACATAGTCTTCCAGGATCAACGTAACGATTTCAGATGGGTTGGCAGAAAGAAATGCCTCAATTTCCTTGAATGTGTCCAGTGCTGGTTCCTACAATTCAAGTAATAATATTATTTACAGACACTATTCTCAAACTCTATATGGAGATGAGGGAGGAAGGCATATTAAGTAGTATGTACTCACAAATGCAGTAAAATCGTTGCATTTGCCTCCACTGGAATGGCACAACCATACATCTCCTTTGAAGTCATATGTGTCGAGCATTAGCGCGCGGACACCATTCTGTAGAACATTGCAGTTGTGAAGAGAATTAATGCTCGTAAGGTAGGACATGTAGAACAACAGAAGAATCTTATCAGATGACGCAGAAGCTACATTCAACTGATCAGTGACTGTATCCTCCTGGTTGTCGAAGGTGATGCGCGGAATTCCGGTGTGCGACGGTTCCCCAACAATCGCGAATGAATTGTGCGTCGTGAGATAGGCATACTTGTTGAATGGCAACGAGTTATTCTGAAGAAGAAACCAGAAGCAAAGCAAATTCAGTATAAAACATTAGGACTATGAAGAGATGCTATTTTCATCATGATTTTCTTGGGTACCGAGTCTAAACAAGTCCTATAATCCTAACTG